ATAAACAGCAAGTCTGCACACATAGGACACAGGCAGTGAGCCAGCCGGACTAGTTGTCAGCTTCTGGGTCAGTTCTACCCAGTTCTGCCCAGGCCCCACTGGAGATGAAAATCTGCCCTTCAGAAGCCCTCAAACCCCACCTTTCAAAATAGAATCCTCTTCAACTGAGGCCCAAGTCCAAAAATCTACTGATATCTTAGCACCTGTTAGACCAGCTGTCGCCTAGCCTTTTTGGCACCAGGGATGGGTTTCATGGAAGACAATTTTTTCTGGGGGGTGGTTTTGAATTGCAACTGCTCAACCTCAGGTCAGGCATCGGATCCTCATAAGGAGCACCTCCGAGATCCCTCACATGCAGTTTACGATAGGGTCCCAGCGCCTAGGAGAATACACAGCTTATGATAGGGCCCCAGAACCCAGGAGAACATGCGGCTTACGAGAGGGTCCCTGCGCCTAGGAGAACAGGTATTAAATGGGTTGGCAAAGCCAAAATCCACCGGATCTACCACTCCAAAACAAACATACACCACTGCCCAATATTGATGTGAGCCAAAAACATGGAAGTCTTGAGGGCCCACACTGACCACAGCCAGACACCACTTCTGAAAGAACCAAGCACGTGCCTAAAGATCACCCATGATGACCCAGGAGAGCAGTTTGAGCAGAGACAAAGGTGAAGGAGAGGCACATGGGCCAGGGTGCTGGGTGTGCCCATCTTTGTGACCTCACTGAGATTGCTGACCTCTGGCCCTTGGTGTCCGTCCTATGGAGGAGGTAGCCCCCAAATCCCTGCCTCCCTTCAGCGCTGACTGAGGCTGCCCTGAAGTCTCCCCAGGGCTGAGACTACTTCTAAATCCTGTTAGCTGCACACCCACATAAAAAGCAAAAAACAAAATATCAAGTATGCAGACAGGAAAAGAAAAATATGTGAATCCTCCCTTATTCAACAGGCATTTAAAAAGTAACAGGAAAATTGTGATAGTCTTTAAACAACCACCAGCTATCACGTCCTGTTGAAATGTTTTAGCTTATCAAGAACATCTTTACCAAGCACCTGTGTGTTCAGGAAATCAGTTGACAGATTCCAAATAACCTCGGAGCTTACGACCTGACCCCCACTCACGCGCATCACCTCTCCAGAGGAACGTGTCCTGGACACCTTTCAAATGGTGAGGAACAGGAACAAGGGTAGCTTTCCCTCAACACCACAAAACAAGCTCGACCCCGAGGAGCCCGGAGAACAGCAACGTTTAGTTTAGATGCTTTCCCACTGACCTTGTCAGAGCAAACGTTCCCATCCCACACTGCCCAGTGTTTAACTCTCCCTGGGATACCAGCAGCCGTCAACCCTCAACAAGCTGGACACAGAGGCCAAGCTGACAGGAGGCCTCTCTCCATTCCCTACTGAATTCGCTCACGACACGGATGTTCCCAAACACATACAGCCCCGAGTATTCCACACCTGGAGAACATTCAAACAACAGACGCTGCAAAGACGTTCCCCTAAAGAGAAACTCAGTTTCTAACTTCCCTTAGGGAAAAATATGAGACCCAGAACTTTCCAGAAAATCAAGTGTGGGAGGAAGCCACTCACCTCTGGCACTTCCTAAACCTGCCTTCCCACAGGTGCTCAGGGATGCCCCCGCGACAGCCCCGTCCACCCAGGATGGCAGCAGGTCTCAGGCAGCCAGCACCTGGGCAGCTGGCGAAGCAACCCCAGGGTGAAAACGCCATCCCAGGCACCACTTCCCGGAGCCCCTCAGCAAGAAAAACAGAGGTGGGACAGAGCTGAGGGCTGATTCGCGGCTGGGGAGCCACAGACTCGCACAGCTCAATCATCAGACATGCTCTTCTGTGGACAGAGCCCAGGGTGAGGCCAGCACAGAGACCCTCGTGCCGGCTCCATGAACCAGCGTCCTCCAGGGCTGCAAGTTTGTGATCACAGCTTCAGAATTTGGTTCCAGAATCTTCCGGAATCAAAGACACACCAAACTGTAAAGCTGCCAGTACAGCAGGGCCCAGGAGCAGGCTCGGGGAGGACCACATAGAAACCCCACACACAGCACACACATATGCATGCTTACTCCACACATGCCACCCCTTCACCCAATACTATACATGCAAAAGCATGTATGCACTCCACACACACCCTCAAATACATACGACACACATGAACACGCTCACTCCACCCACACCTGCTAAATACACTCACCACACACGCACAAACATGACACACGTGCACACTCATTCCAGGCATCACACCCCTCACCAAGTACACAGGTGCACACACCCCCAAGTCGAGAACCTGCAGACTCCACAAGCTTTGGTTTCCCCCACTGTTTCTCTCATCACATGAGATCCACACACAGGTGTCATTTACTGACATCTAACACTCGGGGAGGCCCTTAGACAGAACTGCAGTCACAAGTCGACTTCATTCAGGCATTCATCACCAGCCTCCTGAAGCCACCTCCTGTCCCCACGTGGAGCGGGGGCCGAGACCAGAGACGTCACTGGGCTTACAGATCCCCAGGCTGGCAACCCAGCGAAATCAAGAGGGCTCGGCCACGACCCTGGAGGGAGATGGGTACTGGGCTCAGGTATGCCGAACATGAGTCCTCATTTCCATACAGTGTCACCTACGAGGGCGTCAGGTGAAAGTCAGTGGTTTGGCATTCCTGGGATAGACAGTCCTGGAATTACAAGGGAAGCTTTTTACTCCTCCCCTCTGAACACATGAGGTCCATGGTACCCTCATATCTAACACTGGGAATCGGAATCGGTGACTCCTTGTCCACCTGAGGACCACCCAAGAGGATCCACACACCTGCTACAACTGCAGCACCGCACCTGGTCTGCAGGAGAGCAAAGCAAATCCCACCTTTATGAATAAAACTGGATTACCCGACACTGGCAGCCTGCAGTGTGTATATCGTCAACCCCCACATCTGCGCCACCTGCAAGAGGAACACAAAACCTTAGTCCCGGGCTCTCAGGACAGCCTGTGAGGTGGATGCTGGCACCCTTCTCATCTCCCAGTGGAGAGGAGAGAAGGCCAGGGTCAGGACTGGTGTATCAGGAGGGTCGGGGTTCAAACCCCATCTGCCTCACAAAGCAGCCCTTACCGTTCAAGTGACTTCTATCAGCCTTAAAATGTACCAGTTACCAGCAATTCTGAGTGCTGTTCCTTGGGACGTCATAAGCAAACATTTTGTTAGAAAGACTTTGCCAAATCTGCTTTCAAAATCCTATGTTATGAAATGACTAATGAAAATTTGAGCTATGAAATAAAGCACATAGTTAAATGAAACCCAAAATGACTATCGTGAAAGAAGTTTTAATTTGAAGTGAAAAATATCCTCTAAATGACATCAGCCAGAATTATCATCAATCATTACTGATCCCACATGCTTCAGGAATTATACAGCATCATCTCAGATATGAACTTAAAACCATTAGCTGAATGCACATTTCAGCGAAACCAAAGTTCTGCTATAATAAGCAGCACAGGCGTCTCTGGAGAGAATTTTAATTGGGACTACAAACGATGTGCACGATCATGGTAAGAGGTTTCATGCTGGCTGGTGGGACACAGAGAAACATCACTAACCTCAAAGACACGTGCTGCTTTGTACTGAGATGAGAGACGATGTGGATGGACTACTGTAAATATTTGAAAAGGAGAAACAATGCAAAGAAAGAATCGTATCAGTTTCCCTTTACATTCTTAGAAAAAAATGTTTTTTCTTTTGGGATGATTTAAAAAGAAAATGACATTTCTGGATTTTTTTGTTTTGTTTTGTTTTCTTTTTTTACTTTTCTTTCTGAGACTGGGTCTTGGCTCTGTCGCCAAGATTGGAGTACAGTGGAGCAATCGCAGTTCACTGTAGCCTTAAGTGATCTTCCCACCTCAGCCTCCAGAGTAGCAGGGACCACAGGCACGCACCACCACACTCAGCTAACTTTTCTGTTAATACAGATGGGGTCTTGCTATGTTGTCCAGGCTGGTCTTGAACCCCTTGGCCTCAAGTGATCCTCCTGCCTTGACCTCCCAAAGATTTAGCCTAAGCGACCATGTCTTATTGGAAAATAGACTTTAGAGCTAATGCATTTCTGTAAGATTTTCTACCTCTTTTCACTGGGGAAAAAGTAACTTGCCTCCAAGGGTCGGAGACAAAGCCGTTACTGCAGACAAAAGCGCTGTGCATCCCGGGAACCGCTACACCATGAGACACGGCCGTGCACGCTGGATGCAGGAGTAGCACACGAGGCTAGCACAGGCCGATGCTGGCCCTCTCCAGAAGTAGGCCTGTCCTTCCTCCTCTCCTCAGCCCTCTCTCCCTTCAGGCCTCAGTGGCTGCTGACAGGGGAGAGGCCACAACTAGAGGAGGCTCTCAACTCCACCAGGGACAGGAGCCCCGGACACTGGGGACTCAACTGCTGCCCTCCGTGCCCACCTCCTTCTGGTCCAGACTTCTCAGGAGCCAGGCGTGGCCACTTTGACCCTCTCTTCCCTTCTGTGGTTCCTACAAAAACCATTCCAGCGAGCCCAGGCTGCCTCACACTCCAGGGACACCCAGCACAGGCCCCCTCCATGTCCTTATCCAAGCTCCTGGGGCCAGAAGGGTCTTGCAATATTTCACTTTCCAGTTGAGCATCCCCAGCCTGATCTCCAAAGTACTCCGAAGAGCATTTCCTTCGAGTGTCATGAGGAAGCTCGGAATGTTTCAGGTTTCAGAGCATTTTGGAGTAGGGACTCTCAGCCTTAATTTGAACCTCTTTGAGGAAGCCACACACTGAAGCCCCCGATGTCCACCCTACACAATCCCAGCACACCCTCTGAAGTCCTCAGTAGCAGATTTTCTTTCTTCAAAAATAACCACAAGTCACAAACTCACACACAATCACAGAAGGGGGCTGTGGACACCCGCACAGACGATGAAATTTAACTGTCACATTTTTACCTGGGTAATTTAAAGTCATTCCTCAAAACACACCTGTTTTACTGAGTTGCATTTTAAGGTGAACACACACAAATCATTTCAGGGAAACAAACGTCACTTTGGGCTGCGTGTGGTTTCTTGACTCCCGTGAATAACTCAGCATTCACCCTCACTTCTGGATAAGGGAGAAGATGCAAAGAAATCTGTTAAAACAAAGACATGAAAACAAGTTTAAGAAGGGTTTGAAAGGTTCCTCCTGTCCCCCTGGAGGGGAGACGAGGACACCTGGAAAGCTCACGGGGGACAGGAGCACAGCCTCCTCGGTGTGCCATGGACGCCGCCTCGCCGAGGGGAGAGGATCATGCCTGGAAGACTCACAGGGGTGGGAGCACAGCCTCCTCAGTGCTTTCTACACTCAGCAGCTTCAGAAATTCCTGCAGAAGCAGAACACATGAGAACTGAGACTGGAACACCCCAAAGAAAGGGGACAAGGGGTCAAAAAAAAGCATTCGATCATTACCGCATTCGATCATTACCAAGGAGCGCGGGCATGAAGCCGCTTCAAAGACTGTGTGAGAAGTCACTCATAGGCATTTCAGAAAATAAGGGTAGCACGAGATTGCTCGATCAGCTCAAACAGGCTGCCGTCCCTCAGGCCATGAAGCCCCTGAGATGAGCCTCTCACTGAGCAGAAGTCACTCGCATCTCTGCCAGAGAAAGGACTACAAGCTGACACATAACCTCATGAAACCTGGGCTTCAGCCGGTCGACAACAGTGAGTCTGACATGGTACATCCCTCCAGATGGTTAAAGACCCCAGGGGTTCATCGGACAACCTCGAAGGGCTGTGTCTGTCCAGCTCCTTTTCCAAGTTCTGGATGATTTTTCCTAATGTACTATAAGCAACATGTTCCAGTACAGACGTAATTAACTGACTCTGGGTCCTCTTAATTTTGAAATTAGAAACACACATGGCCAGGCACGGTGGATCATGCCTGTGATCTGAGTACTTTGGGAGGCTGAGACAGCTGGACTGCTTAAGTCCAGGAGTTCGAGTCCAGCCTGGGCAACATTGTAAAACTCCATCTCTACAAAAAATACAAAAATAAGGCAGGCATGGGGACACGTGGAAAATGTGCCTGTGGGTCCTGGCTACTCAGGAGACTCAGGCAGGAGGATTGCTTGAGCCTGGGAGGTTGAGGCTGTAGTAAGCCGTGCTCACACCACTACCTGGGCAACAAAAAGTTTTTTTTTGTTTTGTTTTTTACCTGTCTCACAAAAACCAAAGAGAATAAGAATTACATACCTGACTAGCCCAAAATAAAAGAGGCCTTGTGGAACAACCTGAAACACAGCTGCAAACATGGCAGGGCCTCCCCTGGCTTGATTTGTGGTGAGTGCAGGACCGCTCTGAAGGATAGGACCCCAGCCATCTACCGAGACTAAACCTTACAGTACAACTTCCCTTCGGCTGGACGAACACTGGCTTTGGAGCCTGGGACACCCTGGGGCAGGGCCACCATCCCGAGGCCGCCATGGCACAAGCAGGCCCTACCATCATGAAGCCTGGGACATCCTGGGGCAGTGCCACCAACCCGAGGCTGCTGTGACACAAGGGAGCCCTGGTGCCACTGAGAGGCTGCACAGCAGGTCCAAGCCCAGGCCAGGAGTGAAGAGGCTCCACATCCTTTCGATCCCTCCAGCTGAGTCCACAGATGTCTTGGAGCAGAAATGCATCACCCTCAATGTCAACAGGTAAGTTTTTGGACACAGAATCTGGAAGCATAAAAGATGGTTCTGGGCTGGTTGGTTGCCGGCTCGGATCTGTCCTCTTTCCACACAAAACCTGGCTCACGCCAAGCAGCGTTTAAGTCCTGGAAGACCTGCTAAACACAAGTGCAGTTACAAGTGGAGAAACCGGAGGGGCTGGGCTGTGCTCCAGTGGCACCAGCGTTTCTCAGGAAGACCCCGGGCATTACAGGGTCCAGGGCAAGGGCTTCCTGGGATCCAGGACATGGAGCAAGAACCCATTTCCCTGTCCTGTTGAATATGAATCGGCTAAGGGCCGATTCCCTCGGAGGACTGAGCACCGCCCCACAACACCTTGGTATGGGTATGTTATTACCCATGCCAAGGTAATAACAAGCCCGTTACCAGCAGGAGGCTGGTGATGAAGACATGAGGACCAGATGAGCACGAAGGATCCTGACAGATCATCCCTGACACCGAGCAAGGGGTGGACAGTACCCCCTATTCCTGACGCATCAGCCCTGGCACTGAGCGAGGGGTGGCAACACGGCCTGTGCCCGTGCAAATGCAGAGGGATGTGAGGGGGGCGTAGGCTGGGCTTGGAGGCTAACTCAACCACCTGCGCTTGCACTTCCGTTCCTCATGGCAGGGAGGTGAGGCACAGGCAGCATTAGGGCTCACCTTGCCCCCGGGCTGCACTTTTTTCTGCTTATGAGTCGTGCTCGCTTTACATGGGCAGGCATAGCTATAATAACGATTCCCTGATTATTTCGCTACCTACATAAAGGGCTTTCAGAATTCACTTCCATCCTTAGGAAAGGCGGCCAACACCAGGCTGTCTCCCTTAAGATGCCATGTCTCATATGGGGAAAAAAAAAAATCAGGAGAAATCAAATAAAGGCCATAAAATACATCAGTTTCAACACTAAAATTTAATAGTACGCTTTAAATTGAAGATGAGTTAAGTCACATTTCGAAACTTCTGAAAGCACGGTTACTGGGAGGGAATGGTTTGCAACACACAAACGCAGCTCTGTAGGAGTGCCCAGGCTGGATGAAGGCTCAAACGTCAGTGCAAGGAGAAAGTCTGAACAAACTCTCTCCTGCCCTGCTGCTGTCCTCTTCCAAAACACACTGGTTATCTGTCAGTTTAGAACAAGGCCTAGGGAGGTGGGAGGCAGGCCTGGGAGGGTCACCTAGCATCCAAGCTCCTCACCCACACAACTGCACCAGGCTGAGCTGAGCAGTACACACAAACACAACTAATTCTCCCCAGAAAGAAGACGGAAGGCAGCACACTGCCATGCCAGGCACCCTCCAGATGAGAAGATTGAGGGGAGCCAGAGGTACCTTTAATCTTGCTTGCATGGTGGAGGGAGAGGAATAATGCCACTCACTTGAGTGTTGCACAATTCTTTCTAGCACTGAGTGGCAGAAAACAAAAATTATAGATGCTTCCTCAGATAAATGTTTCTGAAGAACTGAACATAAATTGCGTTCAGGAAATAGCATTATGAATGCCTCAAGTGCTTCTGTTTTCAATAATCCCAGGGTAATTCTATAAACCCGGGAATCAGTCTCACCCAACTCCAGGATCACGGCCCAGGTGACGTGGGCACACATATCCTGAAGCTCCAATACTCAACTGAAGTGGGGCGAGTGAAAATGATCCTGGGTATAATTTACACGGACCCAGGAAGGTGGCTGAGCCCCAAACCCCTAAAGCAGGAAGACCAGTGTCCTTCAGGGGCCTCACCTCTGTCCTTTCCCAGCCTCTGGGAACCACCACTCTGCTATCTACTGACACAAACGTCCCTCCAAGGTACAACCAGGAAGACCATCATTCAAAACTGAGGAACGTGGCAGAACAAAGCTGTCAGGAGATTTTAATCACCAACACCACTTGTTACATGACCCAAAGATGATTAAAATCCCAGGCCCTTCAAGACTGAATATTATCTATACTTAAATGCGTTTCATCACCATATTGGGGGGTTATTCCTTTGTTTTGCTGCAAATATATCCAACTGCTGTAAAAGGAAAAGGCAATTTGTTAACGAAGCTTCTTGCAGTGTCTCAACAGGCCTCGAGGTAGGATAAAAAGGCAGGACTTCCTGGTAGAAACGCTCAGCTCTGAGGTCAAGTGGAGTTCTTGAGCACCAACCAAGGCAGAATAAGGTCGAAGACCACACCACACTTTCCTCAATCACATCTTCATTCCACCTTTCCTTCTATTTCTCACGCCTTCACTGGGAGAAATTGTGCTGAAAGAAAATGGAAACACACACATACATAGGAGACCCTACAGATGCTGAGAATTGGTGCAGCCATCACAGTCCGAATGTCCTTTCAGGGCCATCTGACCTGGCTGGGATCCAAGTATCCAAGTGCAGGATTGTATGTCAGACCCGTGAAGCCAGGATTACAGCCACTGAATGGCAGTTTTCCATCCCACGGAAACCAGCCTTGCTAGGGGTTTCCACGGGGACCACCGACCTCACGCCACCACCCCTCAACTACTTCAACTAACCTACATCATGGCAGAGGCCTCCCTAGGCAGACTAGCCCTGCCCAAGTCCTGCTTCATGGCAAACCCTCCAGACAAACGTCCTTGGCCTCCTCCAGGAGGCTGTGCTCGGAAGGTGCCCTCATTTACTTCTGTGGCTCTGAGACATTTAACTAGAGCCCAACACATTTCTTCCTGTTCACATAGTATTGAGTTAAAAGATTTTTATGAGTAAACTTTCACTGGGAAAAATACCATTTCAGGAGCCCCAGTGACCACAGTGAAAATGTTTTTACCTTCCCTTACGTGACATCGGCAACGCCAGGTCCAGGAAACGTTCTGGATCTCAGATAATGGCATATCCACTCATTGCAAGTCTTGGTCTTGTTTCACAAGCTATCAAATGCTACCCAGAAGCAGGAAAAACCCCACAACGTGGCAGGGAGGGGCGACCAGCGTGACTTCTAAGGCCAGACCACCCGGGTCTGCTGACAGCGTGGTGAGGGGCAAGCAGTGCAGGGTCTAAGGCCAGACCGCCCGGGTCCCGCTGACAGTGTGGCTTCAGGAGTTTCCTAAACCCTCTGCTCTCCAAGTTTCATGTCAGAAAAATGCAGTGATAACCATGTCCACCTCGTTTAAATATATATATATATACACACACACACACACATACACATATATACACATACACACGCACACATATATATACTCCAAAACTACCGCCCTATAAAGGTCATTAATCCTAGTTATCCTCAAGGCATTGAGTGATCAATAATGAGCCATCTCCCTGCTGCTGACCTGCCTCAGCCACACCCTCCGGAAACCCCGCATCCACACCAGCCACACAGGATGAGGCCCGGGAAGGAGCAGGACGGTGTCTTGGGAACTTAAACTCTGGAAGCTGAGTTAAATCAGTGCCACTCAAATCTTGTCACCAACTATCTTGTTAAATTGGGAGATTCCATCTCTGGGGATCTTGAAGGAACCTGAGGCTCTACACTGAGTGAGATGAGCACTCGTGCTGGAATGAGACGGCAGGGAAAGCAACCGAATCTGGGGTCGCAGCTGCTTGAGGCTTGGGTCCCACCGGGAAAGTGGCACCAGGTCCTTCAGGACAGTGGCGGAGGTCCCAGGAGGCAAGTCCCGGCGCAGAGACTCATGGACCAAGATTGCTCCAGGGCCAGGAGAGGCTGCTGCGCTGACAGCCACGAGGCAGGCAGCCTTCAAGCTCCTCCAGCTGCCATCCTGCAGGCAGGGAGGACAGTGCCCAGACCACCCCGGGGCTCCCCCAGCCTGCCAGGCTGGTACTCTTACTGCAGCCACTGACAAGAGTCCCCATATTCCAAGCTAGGTTGAAACAGTGCCTCAGGCCTCAGGGCACATGCACCCCACTGCAGGGCCACTCCTACCCAACACCTGGGGATGGCTATTCCCACACATCCCCAACTCACAGCAAAATTTAAAAATGAAAGTCGGAAGATACAGCCAGGAAACCAATGCTCAAGAA